GTTAATTCTCAATAGTGCTCGTAACATATAAACACTCATCTAAATGATATGAAATTATAACATTTTTATATAAGTAAATTTTGTTTGAAATTAGTCAAAGACTAATTTATAAACCAAACATGGTGTTAGATGTGATAGGTTAAGGGGAAAACAATCAATGATACCATATTTAATCACTATTTTTCATGGATCCCTCAAAAGCGCTGATGTGTTATATAAGCACCAGAAATGATAGGATATAATCATTAAATTCCAACCAGTCCAATTATATGTGGGTTTGAGTTAGATAAGAAATGATATTTTTTTAGATCTCCCATCAGTCCAATTTTGTCATCCAAACACACCCCGAAGGTTGGATATAGTTCATTTTCAATTTAATAGGTACACTTAATTAGGTTTGAATCACATTTTTCAAAATAAAAATCAAAAATTTATTAGAGTTTCTCGTCAAGATCGTTACATTCGGTCATTCCATCCAAATCCATTAATTTGTTTCAACATAATGAGTCATAAGATTTGCCCATAAGGGTATTTTATCTAACAAAAATTATCTCTTTTTGATACGTCAATATTTCTCACTTTGACTCGCTGTATTTGTCAAATGCTCATTCTATACATTTTTTCTTTGGAATTTGTGATCTTATTTTTCTCAAAACCAGATGAAACAGAATAAGGTTTTTCTACTCTGCACATAATTTTTTTTGTTATAAATATACTTTAAGGATTTTTTCTTAATAAATGTATGAACTAGATTGAAATTCAATTAAAACTTTACGGATTTCATTGCTGCAATTGAAACTTAAAAGCACCAAATAAAAATTAACTGCATACTTTAAGGTTGTAAATTATAATTTATCCTTTTTTTTTATATACGGATAATAATGGTGAAAATTTGGCCAACTCCCAGGGATGAAATAATAAGTCATTTTGGTTTAGGAGTTCACCTAATTTTTTCAATTGGTTATGTTTAATTTTTGGGTAAATTACACCAACGACTCCTGAGGTTTGTCGGTATTGCACTTTGGTCCTCAAAGTTCACATATTTTCTCCTTCCTCTCTATTTTCTTCTTTTTTTTCTCTCCTAAAGTATCTCTCTCCCTGCATCATCAGTCCCTCTCCTCTCTGGGTCTCTCCCCTTCAAACAACACAAGCCTCTATTCGTTTTTACGTTTCAAACACACAACACACCCACCAAGGTCGCCCCATACATAAAGCCACTAAAACACGGTTTTTAGGCCCCAGTTAAAAAAGATGCCCCAAATTTATAGGTTTATAAATAATTCAAAAAATTTAAACACATAAAAATTGAGTTCAGCAAAAAATCCAACTAAAATTTCAACCAACAAAAAATTTTTAGTTAAATGATTTGGGCCCAAAAGTCCGAGCCAACGACATACAAAATTAAATTGGATAAAAAAAATAATAAAGTTGAAAATATGCAAAAACAGTGCACGGTAGAAAATAAACATGATAATGTATATTTACAATTCATATGGATTGTATTATTGAATAGTTGCACGCAGAAAACATGAGTATGAAATAGTATATATGTAATGTTTAATATATCTTAGATGCCTAAATTATCAACAAAGAAAAATTATGATGCACCAGACAAAAGACAAAGACTTGACAGTGAGGAACACGCAAAAACTATGAACATTACAAGATTTGCAAACACGTCAATTCTTTGTATCAAAGGAGGCACAATAAGGTCCTAAAAATTTAGGGGCCAACTTAAATTTCAGCCCTTCATTTACCTTCATATTCTTATGTCATTTTGAATGGACCAAATTAAAGGTCTAATATACATTACAAGCCTATGCAAAGTCTTATAAAAAGCCATAAAATATAACACAAACTTCTAAAAAAAACTTAAAAGGAACGACTTTTACCCTTAAAAATAATACTCCCTCTCAAATTCCTTTGATATCATCTGTAAGATTCTAATGTCATAATTGTACCAAATTTATTGTTTGATCTCAAAATCAATAAACGTTACAAATAAATCATACCGAAATTCTGTTTAAAATGTCTAATAATCATAATTTTTTTATTATCTTCCTATCTGTTTAAAATGTCTAATAATCATAATTTTTTTATTCTCTTCCTAAAATATTAATCGGAGTTCCATGCGAAATTCTCGCACCCCAAATGCACAATTATGTATGTCCTTCTCTCATTCAAATACATCAACATTTGCCAGTTGGCTCCTGGTTGCTTTGGCTCGCCTGTCCTATCCTATTAGCCTATGTAGCTATACCCAGTCCGGAATAGAGTCAGACTTTTCCTTTTTTTTTTTTTCATTCACGCCTAATCACTTACTTTATAGAATAAAGGTCAGGTGAAAACTTATAAACACTAACACACACCCGAAGTTATCCAATGTGGGATAGCTCAGTCTCCCGATACCCCGATGTAATTACCATGACTATAGGGCCTAACGGCCCAACATATGGGATTTCAGCCCAACACCGAACACCCTTTAGAAAGAGGTTTTAGTTTTTTTAATTCATACCTGATCACTTACTCTACAAAAGAAGGACTAAGTAAAGACTTATAAACACACNGTTTCCCATGGCCTTCAATCCTCTTGGTCTCTGCATCACAAAAAACCAGACCATACATATTAATAGATGGACATACACTACCCAAAACCCAGAAAATAGACACCACGAGAGAGAGAGAGAGTTCACATCAAAGAAAACCCAATCAGTACATGTAAAAGTATATACCTTCTTAGAACTCTTCTTCTCCCTGACTTCATACCTCTCTTGACCCATGTCTGTTAACCATGCTCCAGGACTCACCAACTGCTCCACATCAAAACTAATGTTAAGCCACAGAGAGACAGAGAACAGAGATTGAGAAAGACGCAGAAAGAATCAACGAAAACCCAGATCAAAAAATCATCTTTTCTTTTGTAATTTGGGATATATACCTCTGCGAGAGAGAGAGAGAGAGAGAGAAAGGATTAGTTTTATGTATAAAGGTATCGGAAGGACTTACAAGCAAAGTTCTTTGGATGATTTTGGCCCTTTTCTTAGGCCTCTGTGGAAGCTTACACCCTTTCATAGCCATAAAATCCTCCTCTTTCTCTTTGCTTGACAAAGCAATATACAGCTTTGGCCAAACAACCCCTCTTTTCTCATCCCCAACTCCACCTACGACGCCGTCCGCCGGATCTTGCCCAATCTCCTCCAACCCAACCACCGACCCTCTCGTCGTATAAAATCTCTCCTTCTCCGGAGACACCGATGCCGAAGACTTCCGATTCTCCGACTGAAGCGCCGCCGTTTCAGAATTCCTGCAACCAAACAGACCCACATCGGAAATTCTTTTCTTTTGTAAATTTTCTGGGAAAAATTGGGAGAAAAAAAATATGGGATTTTCTTCACTTTTATGATACCTGGTGAGACGAGTGGGTGGTTGAGGAAAAGAGGTCTGTTTCTGGGAAAGAGTGAGGAAGCGCGATGAGATTTTCCGGCGAAGTCTACCATTCTTTGATGGGTCTGAGAAATCTGGGTCTCTGAATCTCACGCATCTGACTCTCTTGCTATTACCCCACTGTAAGAACAAATCTGTTTCTGGTGATTTACATGCTCTCTGGTTCCTCTCTTCCGTCTCCATATCTGCCAAGGAAGACAACAAAATTAGAGATATATCAGAGACCCATTTGGGTTGTCTTCAACAACGAGAGAGAGAGAGAGAGATTTGAGTTCAATAACCTCAAGATCTGCGCTTTGTACGGGGAAATTAGAGCAAATTCTTCACGGAAAACCCTGCAAACCCAAAGCATGAAGAATTACAGATATTAACAGAGAAAGAGAGGTCTTTGGGCCACAAGGAAGCTGTAAATGCAGGCACAAAGATGAAGAACATAGAAGAAAGACAAGACATCTCGCAATGGGAGAGTTTTATGTCACAGATAAAGCAAATACACAGCAAAAGGATGAGACCTCTTTGACAAAAACGAGAAGTTTCTTTACAAGAAAACTCATATATCAAACTCTCTCTCTCTCTCTCTCTCTCTCTCGCTCTGTGAATGTCTTTTGATTTGAAGAATTGAAGGGGGGGGGGGGTGTTTTCTGTGAAGGACTTATATCTCTGTTTTGTCAGTTTCATCATCTTCTTCTTCATCTCTAATCTCATGGGCCAGCACAGCCCGGAAGCCCATACCCTAGGAACTGGTTTCCTTAAATTGGGTTTGGGCTTCGGATCAACCCAACTTATGTTTTGTGTTTTTTATTGGGGAATAGCATTTTATATCCTAAAAGATCTCAATATTCTCACTTTGCTCTTTTAAATATTTTATATTTTATATTACACCCTCAATATATCAAAAGTATTATAATATTACCCTTCTATTATCTTTCCATTAGTTTTTCTATTAGTATCAATAGTTTAGCTTTTGATAGAAAAAATAACGGAAGTTAACAAAATGACAATATTGAAATACTTTTGATACATTGTGGGTACAATGTGAAAATTTTAATTTTTGAAGGTATAAAATAAAAATTTAAAATCTTTTAGGGTTCAAAGTACGAAAAAAAACCCTTTTTTATTTCATTTCCTTTCATTTTGTGAACATGTAGTGAAATCTCATCAATTAAGAATGTTATGTCAATTGAAACGCGAGGCAGACTTTTTGAGGTTTTCACCTTCTAGGTATGAGGAGTTCCACTAAGAGATTCAATTCAAGGGTCAATTCTGTCAAAAATACTTATCTAATATTTTTTTAAGAATATTTTATAATAATCATCGATTCAAATTCTCTTCATTCTTTGTATAAATTTTATTAAATTGAAATAGCCAATTATTCATGTTGATAATCAATTCCCGATATATGTCAAAAAATTAAGTCTTGATGTGTCAGTTGAAGACCTTAAAAAAGAATTCGTTGTTGATTCGATTGAAGTGGAATAATGAATCCATTTCTTCGGTCTCTTTGCCATTAAATTAGAATTTTCAAAAAGAATAACCGCATGGATAAGATTGCAACGATCAGTAAATATGATTTGATTGGGTTCGAAATAATCAGGAATCCTGTACTTTTTTTTTTATTATTATGATACTGTATATCAATGAATTGAACTAGTAATAATTTTTTTATATTTGAGTCCAAATTTGATTTGCATGTTCAACAAGTTTAATTTTCACACTACTCATGAAAATATAAAAATAAAATTTTATTTGATTTGAATAACTCAATTAGTTCTCTATAATATTAAATTAATATGAATTCTAGTTCAATTTTATCGAATAAGCTTTCGATTTCATCGTGTGTTTATATATTCAATTTGGATTACATCACAATTAAATTGGGTTTTGATAAATCCAAAACTAATCGATGAAATACGACGTAAATAGTTTTGAATTCGGATTCAAATTTTGTTATTGTAAATAATGAGGACGTAGTTGCCTATCTTAGAACATCCTCCAATGGCCAGAGACTATGCAATGAGAAGGAAGCATTAGAACTTCAAGGGATACTTCAAATGGTAAGAGGGGTGGTTGTAAAATTAGAAGTTTTGAATTTGAATCTTAACATTTCCTTAGGGTCAAGTTGATGACGGATTTATCTCTTATTAATACCCTAATCCTAGTTTGGATGACCTACCTTTTAACTGGATTGAGGAGAAAATTACTCAAGATGTGCATAAACTGATCGAAACACTCCAAACTGTTAAACCAAAAAAAGAAAAATAGAAGGAAACATTTAGATCCATACCACATAAATTAGACAATTCGTGGTGTCCATACCAATTAAAGTATTAGAAATACACCCCAGGGACATTTGTTATGGTTGATCAAAATGCACAGCTAACTCATCCAAAGATTCTGGTTGAAACCAAAAGACCCAAACGTCTCCTACCTGCAAGCATTAGAGACCAATGAATTTAGATATTGTATGGATCAACAATATCTTTATCTAGGTCATAGGTTGGTGTGATACTATAATACGCATTGCGATGTGTGTAGACTTTGTTGGTGCATATTTTAAGTTACGATTTATTTTAAAACTATTGTCTTATTTGTTTTAACAATCCAAAAATTCATTTAAAATTCGATCCAAACAACTAAAATATAATAAATTATAGGGGTTTAGGGAGGCCGGTATCTCCTAAAAAATTTAATAGAATAAAAGTACACTTTTTTAAATAATTGGGATTCAAGTACATATGTTAAAAAAAAGTTATAAAAAGCCTTTTTACCCCTACCATAATACTTAATTGAATGTGAAACTTTCAAGATTCATTTTGATATTTGTGTATCATTTGAATTTTAAATTTTCATATATATATATANTCAAAGTACGAAAAAAAACCCTTTTTTATTTCATTTCCTTTCATTTTGTGAACATGTAGTGAAATCTCATCAATTAAGAATGTTATGTCAATTGAAACGCGAGGCAGACTTTTTGAGGTTTTCACCTTCTAGGTATGAGGAGTTCCACTAAGAGATTCAATTCAAGGGTCAATTCTGTCAAAAATACTTATCTAATATTTTTTTAAGAATATTTTATAATAATCATCGATTCAAATTCTCTTCATTCTTTGTATAAATTTTATTAAATTGAAATAGCCAATTATTCATGTTGATAATCAATTCCCGATATATGTCAAAAAATTAAGTCTTGATGTGTCAGTTGAAGACCTTAAAAAAGAATTCGTTGTTGATTCGATTGAAGTGGAATAATGAATCCATTTCTTCGGTCTCTTTGCCATTAAATTAGAATTTTCAAAAAGAATAACCGCATGGATAAGATTGCAACGATCAGTAAATATGATTTGATTGGGTTCGAAATAATCAGGAATCCTGTACTTTTTTTTTTATTATTATGATACTGTATATCAATGAATTGAACTAGTAATAATTTTTTTATATTTGAGTCCAAATTTGATTTGCATGTTCAACAAGTTTAATTTTCACACTACTCATGAAAATATAAAAATAAAATTTTATTTGATTTGAATAACTCAATTAGTTCTCTATAATATTAAATTAATATGAATTCTAGTTCAATTTTATCGAATAAGCTTTCGATTTCATCGTGTGTTTATATATTCAATTTGGATTACATCACAATTAAATTGGGTTTTGATAAATCCAAAACTAATCGATGAAATACGACGTAAATAGTTTTGAATTCGGATTCAAAATTTGTTATTGTAAATAATGAGGACGTAGTTGCCTATCTTAGAACATCCTCCAATGGCCAGAGACTATGCAATGAGAAGGAAGCATTAGAACTTCAAGGGATACTTCAAATGGTAAGAGGGGTGGTTGTAAAATTAGAAGTTTTGAATTTGAATCTTAACATTTCCTTAGGGTCAAGTTGATGACGGATTTATCTCTTATTAATACCCTAATCCTAGTTTGGATGACCTACCTTTTAACTGGATTGAGGAGAAAATTACTCAAGATGTGCATAAACTGATCGAAACACTCCAAACTGTTAAACCAAAAAAAGAAAAATAGAAGGAAACATTTAGATCCATACCACATAAATTAGACAATTCGTGGTGTCCATACCAATTAAAGTATTAGAAATACACCCCAGGGACATTTGTTATGGTTGATCAAAATGCACAGCTAACTCATCCAAAGATTCTGGTTGAAACCAAAAGACCCAAACGTCTCCTACCTGCAAGCATTAGAGACCAATGAATTTAGATATTGTATGGATCAACAATATCTTTATCTAGGTCATAGGTTGGTGTGATACTATAATACGCATTGCGATGTGTGTAGACTTTGTTGGTGCATATTTTAAGTTACGATTTATTTTAAAACTATTGTCTTATTTGTTTTAACAATCCAAAAATTCATTTAAAATTCGATCCAAACAACTAAAATATAATAAATTATAGGGGTTTAGGGAGGCCGGTATCTCCTAAAAAATTTAATAGAATAAAAGTACACTTTTTTAAATAATTGGGATTCAAGTACATATGTTAAAAAAAAGTTATAAAAAGCCTTTTTACCCCTACCATAATACTTAATTGAATGTGAAACTTTCAAGATTCATTTTGATATTTGTGTATCATTTGAATTTTAAATTTTCATATATATATATATATATATATATACACACACACACACACGTAATACAGTGACATCAAACAATGACACGCTCAACAAAAAAATAATAACATCAAATAGTAACACACTTAACAAAAAAATAATAACATCAAATAGTAACACAAATATTTTTGTTGAGCGTATCATTGTTTGATGTTACTATTTTTTTGTTGAGCGTGTTACTGTATTACGTGTGTATGTGTGCATATATATATATATATGAAATTTTAAAATTCAAATGATACACAAATATCAAAAGAAATCTTGAAAGTCTCACATTCTAATTTTGAAAGTCTCACATTCAAATAGGTATGCACTATTTATGGTAGGGGTAATTATGGACTACATTTTAGAAAGAATTTAAAAGTATTTTAAAATGTGTACTTATTGACAACTATTTGATGAAAAAGATGACTTAAAAGAGGATAAGTTCAGAGGTGGTACTTAAAGCCATATAAGTTTTAGAAAAAGTACTCACATCTCATTATCTCTAAATTATATCTAAATTTCAACTAAATTTCTTTAAATAATCTTTTTTTTTAATATTTATGTAAAAATATATAATAATTTGAATTGGATCATAATTGGATTGGATACAGGTATATCCAAGTCCCAATCCGTGACATATAAATTAGAATTCGGGTTTTGATTATTAATAAAAAATGTCAATTCATATCCAATTAATCGGATTCGAATTCATATCAGAATCTAATCCATTAACAGACGTACTTGACATGGATGTGGTTCTCAACATGTGCTAATGTTTAATTCTTTGAGCTTACCGGGTTTATACCAGAAACATAATACATTACCTTGCTAGAAAATCAATGTGCAACATATGACTTCTTTTGTCATTCAAAACAACTACGGAATGTATGGTTGTAGGGGTGTCTCGTTGATCTCATCCTTGCACCAAGGAACCTTGTAATATCAGCCAGAACTTTGCCAATACCAAATGGAATACTGGGGACCCATGTCATTGAATATTTCTTAAAACCATCTTCAAGTCTCTATGGATCTTTTTTGTTTTTTTGCAACAAGAATTCTCAACAAATTATGGTTCAATCAAAAGTTATAACTAGGGGTGTTCAACTATTACACGACACATTAAACGACACGAATACAATACGAAATTAAAAAGTTTAAATGTTTCGTAAACTAGTAGATCCGACAATAGAGTTATGTCTGCGACTCAGTGGAGTCCAAAACAATTAGATCAATTTCAAATTTTTGGGATCGTTGAATCATAATTTGACCCGTTTGACTCGTAATATAACCTGATTGCATCATAATATTGAATATATACTCCTTGATGTGGTCCTTATTTCTCATTGGGTCAGTCACCAACCGGTTTTTATCCTTACGTTAACCACCTCAAACCTTGATACCTTTAGCAGAAAGAAAAAAGAATTATTGTCTATGAGGTAGAGTTGTACAAGACTTTGTACTCTAATTAATGATAATTGAATATAAGGTTAGATCTGCAAATTGACCACTCAACAACTCAGTTAGTCCTATTTTAATTGAATGTGACATTAAAGTTTTATGACACTTCACCTCTCAATAGCTCAAATATAACCATATTAACTCTAAAAGGTAGCTCAAAAGATATTAAAGACGAATTATAAATTCAAACGTCTTGGTTAAATCCCGACATGAATAGTTTATCTTTGATCAAAACCAAGAAGAGATTAATCGAGGTGTGCGTAAGTTCGTCTATACACCATTGGCCGTTAAATTAAAAAAAAAAAATAAGAAGACATAATCTATTGTAGTATTGAATTAGAGTGCTACCGTTACTGATTCCATCTAAATTGAAGAAAACTATAGCACATACCCCTAATTCGAGAATGAAACTATTATACTCTGCATGAAAAGACAAAAATAACCATCTCCTTTCCATCATATTCTCCTTATGCACCAGTCCCCACTCTAGTGGAGACCCCACCCCACCCCCAAAATTCAGAACAAAACATGCACAGAGACTCCAATCTTCCAAAACAAGATACATACTGCCGTGAGGTGTTGCTCTAGTTTGCCTATTTTATCACTTATTAAATTGACTATTAAGTCAAAATTAGCAAAAATGATTGCTTCAGGTAATCAAAACAGCTAAGCACCCCCCACAATTCCCCCAAATAATTCAAATTTTTTAACCACAAAAAATTTGCAATTACACATTAAAAATGTATTCTCCTTGAAAAGTCAAAATTGCCCTTTTCGAAATAACTTATATTCCCAGAACATGGAGTAAATATTTATTATAACGGGTATACACGTCAATATTGTTATGTGATATAACCGTCCAAAAATAACTCAATAAGTGGACAAAGTCGATCTCACTTTTTTACTTGTAGTTGTCACTATCTCGAGAAAATATTGTGTGTCAACGTCCAATAAATAAGACAACATGTGGGAAAGTGAATCTCACATGAATAATTACTTTACTGTATATCATAAATGATAGTTATTTAATTATATAAGATCCACATATCCACATGTTATCTTATTAATGAATAGCGGTACTACTATATCAACATGATGACATGGTGTAAATATTACTCCTAATATTTATTCCAGTATCTCATATGGATGGTAATTATTTAAAAGTGACGGCCAAATTAGGTCTAAAATTATAGACTAAACCCAACTCAGAAATACAAGCCAACAAAGACCAAGTCATCGCCTTGAAAAATCTAGTCTACTAGTGATGTACGTGAGATTTACATCTTAGGAAGGAAATTAGGATATGTATTGCAAGTCTCAATCATCTTATCCGGTACGTTAACATCACAGAGCCACCTACTCTCGTCACAAGGGGAACGCCTCAATCAGGACCTCTCGTGATGACACTTCCATCAAAACTCACTCTGGAGCGCCATAAAGATTATATACTCTCCTATAAATTGTAAATCTCACCTACACATGGAGGGTATTAGACACACATCTCAGCACACTACGCCTCTTGAATAATAAGATTCTCCGGTCACTATAATAATTATTAGTGGAATAGATCACCTAGACCGAACCACTTAATTTTTGTGTTTATTTGTGTCAAGTCTTCTTATTTCATCCTTAATTGATTTTGCATAAATTCATTTTTGTGCATTATCAAAAAACAGTGAAATTTACTTTACCTATCTTTAGATTATCCTTAAACAATTACACCACGTAGCATTACTAAATTAGTGTAACAGTTACGATAAATATTTACTCCAGAACATGATAGGGGCAAGATTGTCTTTACACTGTACTCTTGTTTTTCAAATTAAGCCGACCCACTAAAGCGGTAGCTAGGAACACAGACAGATAAAATGGACGGACCCCGCAAAAATGACCACAAAACCGTTGGCAATAGCTGGATGGCACCGAAAGGCTGTCAACAACCGGGCTGGCCGGTAACGGTCTCTTCGGGCAGCCTGCCCGTGAAACACCCTTATATACCCACCACCATTCATCTCCTCTCACTCGTTGTCTCCATTTTTATGCTCTTTCTGGTTCTTATTCTCTTGAATTTTTTCTAGTAATAGTCTCTGCAATTCAAGCTGGTAATACCCATTTCAATGGAGGCCATGAAGATGAAGCTTTTTGTTGCTGTTGTTATGATGGTGATGGCTGTTTCAGCAGTTCAAAATGTGGCTGCAGTGGAGGCACCTGCACCTAGCCCTACGTCGGACGCCACCATTTATGTACCCACCATTGTTGCTTCTCTTTCCGCCATTGCGTTTGGGCTTCTTTTCTAATCAAGCTCAAGCACGCCTTGTGTTTGATAATTTGCCTGAGAGGGGGATTTATGTAGAGTTGTGTTTCTCACTCTTCTTTTCTCTGTATCAAGTGGCCTTGGCTATTGGAGGAAGAGAAGTGAGAGACTCCTTTGGATTGGTTTTTCATTTGTGATTTTATTGTTTTGTTGAACATATTCATGCTGTTGTCATTAGTATTTTTGTATAAATAATTTTTTGCAATTTGTTAATTTCTGCACGGGTGCTTTCCCGTAATAAATTGAGATAACGATTCGCTGGATGGTGAGTCTGAAACAATCAAAGGGTCGGGGCTAATCCCCTCTGACCAATCGGCATTGGAGACATTAGTACACTATGTATTTTTTGGATTTAGGTTTGTGGACCTTTGTTCAGCTTCCAACAAGATATTTATACTTGGACTAACAATAATTGTTGTACCAGTAATGTTATGTTGACCAAAATTATAGACTAAATAAAGAACTTAAATGACATGACAGTTGTTGATATGACAAGATTAACAGTCATGTCATTTCTTTTCTCTGTTTTTTTTTTGTTTGTGCGTGTTAGGAAAACGGAAAAGACAAAAATTTTTTACCCCATCTTTCCTTTATTTGGAGAACACGAAAAGATTTTGCTAAAATTAACAAATTGCAAAAAAATATTTATACAAAAATAATAATGACAACAACATGAATATGTTCAACAAAACAATAAAATCACAAATGAAATACCAAATCCAAAGGAGTCTCTCAATTCACTTCCTCAATAGCCAACGCCACTTTATACAGGCAAAGCACCCGTACTCGGCCTCCCCAAAGCTATAACTCCTCGGTGCCTCCTAGAGACGTTCTTTGCGCTCCATAACAATTACAATGATCCACGTGTTAACTTACGGCTATTGAGCCGCTTAAAGTCCCGTCAATTTTTATACTGCGATCCATCTTTTCAGTTATTGTCTTGCTTTAAATTTCTAATTTATGGAGTATGTTTAGTGCAGTGGAACCCCTGAATTTGAAAAAAAATATTCATTTTAACGATGATACTATATCAGCATTATCACGTGATAGTATCAATCAATAATGTATAAATAAATAATAAAATGGTCTGCACACAAGCTAATAATTACCTGTTCATGTAAGTCAGTAACTACCCACTCTCTTTTTATATAAACCAATAACTAGAAAAGTAAAGTTTACTTTACTCATGACATGTATAACCATTGCATTGAATGTCTTTTTAGTTTGAGAGGAGCTTTTTTTTTATTTTTTCAGAAATTGAAAGTTCAGGTCCGAAGCAATGGCAAATGTTGAAACCCTAATGTGTTACAAGTTCAAGTCTGTAAGATATTGTGCATCGGATAGATAAAACTGTTTATCATTTGCCTATGTGAAACCCGTAATAGGTGAATTAAGATGAATTTCATTTGTTAAATAATATTATTGATATTGATTTACAACTTCATCTTTGAGGGGGGTTTGCTGGCCACAAGTATCAAAGCTGGCATTAAATAGTCGGGAACATGTTTTAAACTCGTTTAGGTTACGGTGATCAATATTTGAGTTTGAAAGAATAATCAACGTAAACTTGAACACCCTATAGCCAAAAAAAAAAAATCTGAGATATTAACCATGGTTCAATCACTCAGTGTATCAAGACTTTAATGTAGTTATGGAATGTTGGTGCAATGTCTTTTCTTTCTTTTTTTTCTTTTTGGGCAAATATGTTCGTGCAATGTCACCTAAGCATCACATGGAGTCTTTTACCAACAATGATAGATTAAGGGGCAAGTGGGGGCCATTACCTTTATGTTTGGAATATCCACTCCCATTATATCATTAGGGAAATGTTACAGTATCGTTGGCGGTATCGTATCAAAAATTATAATTTTTTAAGATTCAGTTATAATTTTTTTTAAAGTATAAGTTACAATTTTAAAGGACATAGGTTAAAATCAATACCAAGAGTTCATGATTGACCATGAGTATTTGTGATTGATCATGACCTTCATTTGAATAGTAATAAATTCTTTTTTTAAAATTGTAATTTTATTATAAAAAGTAATAACTAACAGTGTAGTACCAATTTTTTTTTTTCAGTACGATAGACTTTTCCTATCAACGNCGTAGGTTGAAATCAATACCAAGAGTTTATGATTGATCATGAGTATTTGTGATTGATCATGACCTTCATTTGAATAGTAATAAATTCTTTTTTTAAAGTTGTAATTTTATTATAAAAAGTAATAACTAACAGTGTAGTACCAATTTTTTTTTTTCAGTACGATAGACTTTTCCTATCAACGGTGGTTAAAAGGTTGTTCATTTGACTAAATTGGCAAGAACGTCCTTCTTCCTTAAGTTTTAAACAAGGAGTTGAGTCATAAAAATAAAAGCATGCTCTAATACGTATATAGACTCAATTCTCTACCTAATTTTTAATTATATAGCGAGGAAGTGAGAGAGAAAGAACTTGGTAAAGAGTCATGCTCTTCCTTCTCTCTAAATTTCTTAGCTCACAATGTCTTTCTTGTTTCTCTAACTCATAATTTAATNAATTGTTTATTCTTTATATAGTGAGGAAGTGAGAGAGAAAGAACTTGGTAAAGAGTCATGCTCTTCCTTCTCTCTAAANATATAGCGAGGAAGTGAGAGAGAAAGAACTTGGTAAAGAGTCATGCTCTTCCTTCTCTCTAAATTTCTTAGCTCACAATGTCTTTCTTGTTTCTCTAACTCATAATTTAATAGGAATAGTAGAAGATAGTGACTATGTTGTAAATAACATTAATAAAGTTATAAAAGGGTGTGTATAGTATTTTCTTTATACATTTTTGGACAAGTAATAAGGAAAATAAAAAAAAAATTCCCACTTTTTGACATTTAAAAATAGTATAGATTATGATGTTAACTTCAGTATTCCTTCATTATCCTATTAGAATATAAATTCCAACTCGCCTATTAGACTTTTTTTACTCCTCGATAAGTTTATATATCTGTAATTTTTTTATGAACACACACAAGTGTATACATATNACACTTTTTGTACTTTTCGATAAGTTTATATATCTGTAATTTTTTTATGAACACACACAAGTGTATACATATAATTTTGAACATACTTTTTATCCAAACATCATACTATAATCGCAAGAGCCTAAGATGATCAATAAGCTCAAGCTCGAGCATTGCCTCCAAAAGAGTGCAACCGTTTGAGGAGTGTATAATAATTTATCAATCAACTTGAAACTTTTTTCGTAACCACATTCGTCTACTTTTTATGAACACACATACGAGGATATATGCAAATTTAAACATACTTTATTTAATATCATAATACAATCGTAAAATCCCAAGTCCAAAATTAATTGCTAACAAATTAATATTTCTTTACATCTATACTATTATCTTTAACAATAAAATTTGATGGGAGAGTGAGAGAAGGTTAGGGCAGCATTCCCTTCTCAATTTTTAAAATTTTGATTTATTTTAATGCATTCACTGCAATCATATTGTATCACTAGTTATAACTCGTGTCTGAAGCTACGTTAGAACATAAAACTCGAGTTCCCAAAAAATCGATTTTCCTATATTAAATAGTAATTTTTTTTCTTTCATTTCTTTCTCAAAATACGTAATTCGATAAAAAAAATTTCATATGTGTATACTATTGCATATGAATAATGTCTAAAATAAAAATTATGTTAAACTATAAATTAATTAAATATTAAATGATTGATCATACGATAAAAATGGGTAATTTGATGGTTTTGAGGGAGAAATGTATAGGGGATAAAATTCAACTTNTGATTGATCATACGATAGAAATGGGTAATTTGATGGTTTTGAGGGAGAAATGTATAGGGGATAAAATTCAACTTTCTATGTATTTTATTATATAGATGTGGTCTAACTAACATCTACTATCAAATAGCAACTCATCCATTTTTTTATTTTTAAAATTACTTTTTATCACCTGAACTTTTCATAATTCCTTATCTAACTTTCTAATTTCCTAAATGGTGGAATAATGGAGAGAGGAGAGAAAATGGAAAAGATGGTGGAAAAGGAAAAGAAAGAGGATGATAAGCAAATTTCATGCATAGCATGTGGCATCTACTAGTAANACTTTTTATCACCTGAACTTTTCATAATTCCTTATCTAACTTTCTAATTTCCTAAATGATGGAATAATGGAGAGAGGAGAGAAAATGGAAAAGATGGTGGAAAAGGAAAAGAAAGAGGATGATAAGCAAATTTCATGCATTGCATGTGGCATCTACTAGTAATCACATAAGTAACTCACTTTGATGACTGTGTATATCAATCAAAATAAAAGAGTTATTACAACATTAACTTCATGTTCATGATACAATATAATGTATTAAAAATTAGTAGAAATCTCATAGTTATTCGACTTTACAATCAAAATCTTTGAAGAAAAAAAATCATCAGAGATTTATATTAGTTAAATAAGATATATTAGTAATTTATATACATGTGAACTATCAATATAAATGTAATTTTTTTTTAAAAATTTATAGCTCAAAATGATTTATATATAAAATACGTGTACAATAACTAGTTCATTTTGAAGTTTGCCAAAAGCCAAAATCCGTAGAGTTAAGATAATGCCAATATTATATTGGGGCATTTTGGTAATATAAAAAAATATTTCCTACAATTTTTTTCTTTTTCTGTTTTAGTTCAACGATTAGAAGTGTTTAGACTAAATTATGCATACTTAGGCAAACCATCTAAATCTCTCGTGATTTAGCCCCAAAAGATTACTAATATTAAAATTTAAGACGTCTAAATTTACAACTTCTCTCCGATCTACCGTTAATTTTTTCTACAATTTCCAACAAACCCTACAATTTCCGCTTCATATTGGGCCATTTTAGTAACATGCGAAAACATTCCTGCAATTTCCCAAGGACAAACTCTACAATTTCCACTTCTTAAACCCTATTCTCTGTAGCAACAGTCTCTCTCCTGTTCGACAAC